GCCTGCTTGGCACCCCTAGTGAACAATTTACAGTACCTCGAAAGAAAAAAAAAAGCCACAGGAAAGAACCTGGTGAGTTTCCTTCAAGACTTTTTCATCTTTAAATATTGTCAACAACATACAATAACTTAAATCCCAAAGCAACGTGGGAATTCAACGACACAGGGTCATCAGGACACACGGACAGGACACTGCAGCAGAGAAGGACTAGGGGTAAAAACTAGTAGCTAATTACAGAGGAACAGACGAACACATATGAACTGTCACTTTACCTAGACTCAAAGGCCCTAAGGGGGAGGAAAATCCCCAAGAAAGCTGTTCTGTGAACTAAGTGAAACCCATCTCCAACTCCTTTCCTTAATGCCTTAAAAAATACAGTCTTAGACTCTCATATATCGGGGGGCGTGGCTGTGGGTGAATGGGGGGGACGGGCAGTGAGGGAAATCAGAGACAAAAGGCAACCATGTCCATCACCTCCCTTCTTTGCTACCACTGGGGACCAAGGGCATGTGGCTCAATGACAAAAAGGCAAAGGCCTAATTTCAAGTTCCCAAGGAGGAGACATGAGCTACAATAAGGCTTCCAAGCTCAAGAGACTGGGGGAAAAGTGGGGTGAAGCTGGAACACAGAGCAAGAACAGGGGGATGGTGGGGCTGGAGGCAGAGGGGAGAGAGGCCCAGGGCCTTCCACGGTGCCGGGAGAAGAGCGACAGAATTGACACGTGCAGCCTGTGTGCTGCGAATCCCTGAAGAGTGGTGGAGGGGAGATGGTGAGCAGAAAGCAGCCGGCCGGCAGCACAGAGCAGGTGAGCTGAGCCGTGGCGGGGTGGTCAGTCCGGTCACACAGGCCGAGGACGGGTAAGCCAGGGGACACAACTCCTCCTTGAGCAAATATCAAAGCCCAGGGGACCCGAGCCAGCCCAGTTCTACCTCAGGGCTTTTCTGCAGGGGCCCAGAAATGTGCTCAGGGGAAAAGGAGAGATGCCTTCGGAACCAGGCAGGTCAGCAACTTGCTTCCCAGCTGCGTGACCCCGGGAAAGTTACAGAACCATCCGGGCCTCGCTCTCTACATCCTGACATGGGGGTAACACCCACCTCCCAGGACTGTTGTAAGGAATCAAAACATTTCTGCAAATAAATCTCTAGGACAGCACCCCCCACCATGTAGAAGAAATTTATTGGTTTCTTGCAATTCATTAGTCCCCACCCTAGGCCAGGATCAATCCACAACCCCACTCCGACAGTGAGGCAGAAAGCAGCCTTTGCCAGCACGGCTTCAGAAACCGGAGGTGGAGGCCAATGATGAGGATGAAATAAAGACGACAGAGAATAATGACGGTGGCAGAGACGACCCTGGTGGAGGTGTGACGGGTGACACTGTAAGACTCACTGGGCAGGCGCAGGGCCAGGGGACGCTGCCCTCCGCACGCAAGGGAGCGAGAAGCCCCCACTCACGGCAGTCCCTTCTGATGGCTGGAAGACAGAACGAGTGAAGTCTATTCACTTCTTCTGGAATTCAAAGATGTCCCAAAGAGATCAAGATGAGAATCTAGCAGGGGGTGGGGGACATTCTGAGAAAAATCTTAAAAATAAAGAGCATCTGAAGGATCCTCTCTGCGGTGATCACCTCCCTCCCCGCAGAGCACACACATACCCATAGGTGGCCTGGGGGTTTCAGAGGGCCTCAAAGACAGCCCAGCAAAAGTCAGCCCCAGTTACAGATCCAAAGTTAAAAGCTCCTAGACGTTTCACCGTCGTAAGCCGACACGCTCCTATTAAACGCAGACGCTCTCAGAGAACTGCCACCGCACTCGGGACTTGAGAGGAAGGGTACTCAGAAAAAGACACACGACTTACTTCACAGTGGTACCCACGCCCCCTTCACAGGTCCAGCTGAGGGGCAGGCAGGGCTGGGACTAGGGTGAGTTGGGTGAGGCACTCGCCTTGGATGCAAAATTCAAGGGGGCACCAAAAAGCTCAGTCATGAAGAAAAATCATAGTTCAATGCACTATTTTTAAAAATCAGAATTAATAAAAAAAATCCACAATGAATACAGTATCAAATTTTTAAGTGAGGCAGGGCGCGGTGGCTCACGCCTGTAATCCTAGCACTCTGGGAGGCCGAGGCGGGTGGATTGCTTGAGGTCAGGAGTTCGAAACCAGCCTGAGCAAGAGTGAGACCCCATGTCTCTACTATAAATAGAAAGAAATTAATTGGCCAACTAATATATATATAGAAAAAATTAGCCGGGCATGGTGGCTCATGCCTGTAGTCCCAGCTACTCGTGAGGCTGAGGCAGCAGGATTGCTTGAGCCCAGGAGTTGGAGGTTGCTGTGAGCGAGGCTGACGCCACGACACTCACTCTAGCCTGGGCAACAAAGTGAGACTCTGTCTCAAAAAAAAATTTTTTTTAAGTAAAGCCTGGCTCTCTCTGGGCAGGTGTCTAGCTAGGCATGAAGGATTTCAGGAATGTGAATACATATTACTTCTGAAAGCTGGCCTTGGACTTCAGCGGGCGCAGAGCAAGCAACACCATGTCCGCAGGCCGTCACTCACCAGGACTCCTCTGACGACCATCCTGACCTCTGAGTTCAACGTTCCCAGATGACCACTCCACACATCCCCGTAGGAAACGTCCTGTCTTTGAACCCCTGGAATTGCATTCCAGTGTCCCATCCTGAAACACCTATCTAGTTGTCACATCCACACCTGCCCATCAGTCTAGTAAAACCAGGGGGTGGGATTTGCCAGGGAGACCAGGTCAGACCAGACAGGAGGGAAGACGGGTCAGGGGACAGCAGGGTCCGTTTGCAAGGGTTAACAAAGGGAGGTACCAGAGCAGGCTCCTTGTAGGGGATGCAGGGAACACAGGAATGGAAGGCAGCCAGAATCAGGAAGGACCAGTCCTACCGGCTCCAGATCAGGGAGTGAGTCTAACATTCTGAAGAGCAAGTGCCAGGGCTCCCTGCGCAGCCTAAGGAGGCCAGGGTACTTTCAGGGCTTCCAGGGCCCACGACCGGAAATGGACAACCGAGGGGGTGGGGCCTGGCTGTCAATATCACCAGGACACATGACAAATACTCAGTCAACAGAGAGACTCACCTGCCTGCACAGCCAACCAGAAGTCCAGGGCTGGGTCAGGCTAATGAGGCACCTATGTCCTGATAATGAACCTTAATCGGCCAGGATTTCAGCTTCTACCACCTGCCTTCCAACCCCAGCACCTGAGGTGGCGAGCACCCAGGCAGCGAAAACTCTCGGGGTCAGGTCCTTCCCAGAAGTAGCAGGGTTTTTTTTTTTCCCCCCCTCACATATGGGTTTTCATTAAGTTGAATTCCTGATCTAGGAAAACATTGATCTGTTTGAAAGAAGAGAGGCATTTGGGAATGTGTTCCTAACAATAACCATATCTTTCCAAGAAGTCATTCTCAGACCTGAAGCCAAGGAGAGAGGCAGGTGGTGTGTTAGGCTGAACCACAGGAAACAGCTGATATTCAACTGTTTTCACCCTACGCCCATTCATAAATTTACACACAGACACTCTCTCCCTCACAAAGGGCAATGATCTAGCAGGGTGAGGCTTATCAGTGCGGGACAGGGGCTCTAGGACCACACACTTTGAAGTTAAAAGGGCTTCAGGCACGGAAGGAGGGTAGCATCGAGGGTAGCATCGTTCCCAGTTGGGCTTCTGAGGTCCAGAGGGGGGGAGGGACTAATGCCAACTCACACAGCCAGGAAGGGGAAGCTCAGCTCGCCAGGCTCCTGCCGCCATGTTTCCTCACGATCGCAGCGTGCTGAGGGCCGCTCCTACCTCCGACCCAAGTTGATAGTCTCTGGCAGAGCCCTCAGGAAAGGCCTGAAACTACAGAAATGGCAACACCTGCTTCTTCCTCCAAGTCCTTCCCGAGGCAATGGGTGGTTCTGCCCTGCCTGATTCAGGCCTCGCACACCTGACTCAAAGGCACAGGCTCAAACAAACATGTGTGAAACGCCAAGGCTCTGCAGCCACAGAGGGGCCTGCGGGGCAGACCTTTCCACTCAAGGTGGACCGTCCACAGCCACCCAGCGCTCTTTTCTGTGTTAAAAGTGAGCAGATGAGCAGATCGTTCAGGAGGTGTCTCCTTCGTGGCCGTGGGGAGGGAGGAGGGAAGGGGACTCCAATGTGGGGACCGTGAAGACAAGAGTGATGACCAAAAGCCAGGCCCAGAGTGTCTCCTTGTGTCCCTGGGCAACAGTGGCTGAGGGAAAAAGGGCTTTGCGAGGAACCCTACACCATGACACATGTACCAAGGGCAAGGGGACCCTTTTCCAAAGACTATTCCAGGAATTGGCCTAATTCCAGGCTCCAAACAAATCAGAATCTGGGGATGACCCTAAGAAATCAGAGACAGCCAACTGTCACTCCGATGCTGCCACCAACCTCCTCATCTGCATTTCCTCCTCTGTAAGACACAAATAGTGAGGATAAATGTCGCAGAAGAGCATGTGCCTGACCATGGCCCGCATGAGTCATGCTAAGCCAACGCCAAATCACTCCTCTCCCAGAAGCCAAAGCGCGAAGCAAACGGCGTGCCCCCTCGCAGCAAGACAGTGAGAAGCACAGCTACAGCAATTCATCCTGTAGCGAGGAAGGAAGCTTCCGCTAGGAGCTGGCAAGGTGCCACCGTGCTCCGCTGACCTTCTGCGGTACACATTCCCATTGCCCTTGGGAAGCACATGATGGTCGCTTTGAAAGGAAGGGAACTTGAGAGAGGCGAAGAGACAAGCCTAAGGTCACACAGCCAGAGCAGAATGGGAAAGAGAGCCAACTTGCTCAGGTCTCAGAGCCTGGCAGCCCGACTCGGCAATTAGTCCAAATAGCTTTTTAATGTCTCTTCGCTTCAATCTTCATCTTGAAGCACCTCCTCCCCTTTCTAGCAGCAAGTATATTAAATGTGGAAGGAAAATGGTGTCATTTTGTAAAGGTCAGCAGGACATGTAGGTGGTCTTCTGAGTTGTCCAAATAGAGGATATCATCATGGTTGTTATTATTATTATTGCTGCTGCCAGATTCCACGGATGCCAAAAGATGCCAAGTTAAGAGCACCCACCGAAGCCTCTTAGAAATAACACAAGGATAACTGAGATACCTACTTAGCCTCCTGGCAGCAGGCTGGGTCCCCAAGCGGGTGGACAGAGGATAATCCGAATCAGCAGCAGTTGCTGAAGCGCCTCTGGGCGGGGCAGAGAACAGTATCTGCTCCTGTCACATCCTCCATGGGGAAACCTGCCCAGAGCAGAAGGAATGCTGTCTCTGAGGACAGGGAAGGGAGGGGTGAGGAGGGACAGGCGACTGCCCCACCAGTGCCCCATCCACGGCCCCAGGGCCTGCTCCCCACCGTGCCACAGGGCGAGGGAACCCCGTGGACAGAAAGCCACTCACTCAGACCTGCAACTCCACAGGTCCTAGGCCCACCACCAGCCCTGCCCACAGAGGGGATGCAGCAGGCAGGGACCCCCAGACACGGCTTTGGAAGGGCTGGGAAAAAATAACTCCTCCATCTTCATGGTGCCCACAGCAGTACCTTCAGAATAATCCTGCTTTGCCTTCGCTGGTCTGGCCCCTGGATGGATGAGTGAAATTGGGTTCGACCCCTCACTCATATGGCAGGTGGCCACCATGTAGTCTACACTATGTCAGTGACACAACACCTTTCTGAGCAAGATGTCTGCAACCTAACAAAATGGCAAAAAGGAAAAAATGAAAAATCCCTGCCATAGAGCACCATCTGGAGCCAGCATGGTTTAGATTTCGCTATAGGCTGCACCCTGCAAGAGGACCGTTTAATGGCACCAAGGATAGACAGATATGCTCATGGCTTAGGGGATGGGGCTGTGGAGGGCCCAGGACAGACTATTCTGTGTTCTTCTCTCCATCAACAATGACGAGGAGTCACTTGGTTGGCTGGAACTGCTGATAGGAGTCACGTTTTTCCCCTCCTAGCTGAGGAGTAGAGGTATGGGGGCAAAATTAATTTCTTACATATCGGCTTTGTCGAACAAAGAGAAAGAGTGAGATGAGATACAATAACAAAACCCTGGACAACAAAACCAGTAGTGCCTCCCCACCCAAGATGTGGTGGAACCTTTGAACCAAAGTGCTCACGGGCTCATAAAGCAAGGAACAATTTGAAAGCCAAGGTCACTCTTTAGTGATCCCCAGGGCAGGACTTCTAGCTAGTTGCAGAGGAAGAGCCGTGACCAAATCCCCCACTGGCGCTGGCTGCACCACTCTCAGACTCTGGCATCCACCAGGCAGCAAACACAAGGAACAATGTCACCAGGGAAATATTCCAAGATAAAGGACAGTGAAGCAACATTTAGAGTCTTAAGGGGAGAGGAGTATGACCTAAAGACTCTACTTCCAATTGAGTTGTTTTTCCCACATAAAGACAACTGTTCACACATAGCACAGGAAGCCTCAGAGTAATGGAGCAGTGAAGATGGACATGAAAAAGCTTTAGAAGCAGAAGTAGCTCAACATTCAAGCTAAGGAAACTAATTCCAGGAAAGTCAGGGTTGGCCTCTGGTGTCCTTCCTACCCAGCACTAGGCTACCTGTGCACAGAGACAAAGGAGGACCTGGTCACTTTCCAGTGCTTGAACCTGACGGCTATTGTACATCAGTGGCTCACTGGGCACCTTATAAACAGCATCACTTTGTCACATCCATTTACAGAAGGTACTACCGACGGCTCCATTTTACTTCAAGGGCATCACAAAATGTATGGCCTGGCTGACAAGGGATCCCCAACCCCGAGTGTCCATAACCCACCACCATGTGCTATCCTGATGCATTGCAGAGATATCTACTAACCAAACACGTACCCTAAAGCCCAGGAGTCCAGGGATTGGAAGGAAAACCCAGGAAATGGAATAACATACAAAGTTTGACAAGAAAAGGAACAAATAGCAGAACTTTGTCTCTGACTTCAGAACTGGCACCAATGAGTGAGTCTCCCAAGAAACTATTCCTAGGATGAGCAAATGTTTGTATCAGAACCTGGTCTGACCACATCCTGACCCCAGGTAGGTAGATGGGTACCTTTAATAGGTGCTGGTTTCTGCCCTTCTTTGAGTATTTCCAAAAGGAACAAGGACAGACTCTGTCACCCTCTTCACTGTAACACGACTGTACTTTTCCTAACACTCCATGCTCACCTCTCTGAGGCAGTTCCCTTTTCCACCTGTGGGCTCAAATGAGTAAGTGCACATAGGTAGTGCCAGGCCCATCAACCCTATGTCCCCACCCTGGACCACCTGGCCTTCAGTCTTCCAGCTGGCCTGTGAGGGCTTACAGCACAGAAAAGCTTGGATCTCACAGCAAATGAGCCTCCAATTCATGGGTGTTGGGGAGAATGGAGGAGGAGCAAAGCCAATCCCAGAACCTCCAATACTGGCATTGGGAGGCCAAACTCAGGGCTGACAGAGGAACCAGAATAGCTCTGGGCATACCCAACCGGCTGAGGACAGGGAGCAGCAGACAGATTTGGCTGAGTAACTCTGCAGGGTCACCCAAAAGGCGAGGAAGACTGGAGGGTGGGGGACATGCATGCACCCCTCCCTCCCCTACACGGCCAGAGCTGATGGCCACAGTCCCCCCAGTGGACAGGAGTAGAGGGGCCCTGCGGGGCAGGAGACCCTCCGAAGTGGCCCTGTTCCCATCCCTTCCATCTTCAAAGTGCATTATCAGTGCAAGAAGCAGGGCTGGATCACGGGGGGCCCAACTCTGAGAAAGGGCTGTACCAGCCAGCTCCCCCCACCTCCTCCCGCTTCCCCCTTGCCCACCCCGCCCCTTCTCATGCTAAGACCAGAACTCTTGCTGGATCTCGTAAGAAGTGGGCCTGTGTGTGTTCAGTTCGGCTCTGCACAGCGGCACGGTGCTGTCCTGACTCTGCCCCTCTGCGTCCAGGTCCAGAAGCGTCCGCTCGGTGGGTGGCAGCGGCCCTGCCTGCAAGGGGAGCAGGGCGGGCAGCCCGGGCCGCTCCTCCACAGTGCTGCTGCTGCTGGCCAGGCAGGAGTCCAGGTTGCTGGGCGTCTCTGTGCTGGAGCTGTTGGCTGGGGAGGCGCTGCGGGCGTGGCTGGGGGACACGAACCACCAGGGGTCCAGCCGTTGCCGGTTGGCAGAAGGCCGAGGCCGAGGCAGAAACTCCAGCGTCTTGGGTCTCTCCAAGGTGGAGTCCTGCTGTGTGTTCCAGCGCCTTGGGGTTGGGGGAAAGACCACATTGGGGTCGGGGAGACGGGGGAATTCACCTGGGTCTCGGCTGGGGCTGGGAGTTTTCAGCATTCCTGGTCAGGAGACAAAGGGAGAGGCATGAGATGAGGGTCCCAGATTTCGGGGCCAGATTTACACGGGCCCCTCCCCACCTGCCACCTGGGATAACACACATTAACAACCAGGTATGGAGCACCTACGTGCCATGCAGTGTGCTGGGGGCACTGGGGAAACAACAGCGACCTAGAAGGCCACAGTCCCTGCATCTGGTAATAACAATAGGACACATGGGGGTCACATCTGCAATGAAATAACTTAAGGCAGATATCTGCAAATGGCCCTCAAGCCAGCCACCTGTGTTTGCAAACAAAGTTTTCCTGGAATGCAGCCACATCCAAAGTCTGCTTGCCCACTCAAGCAACATAGCTGAGTAGTCATAACAGAAAATGTATAACCCACAGAGCCGAAAATATTTACTACCTTGCCCTTTATCCAAAAGAGTTTGCTGACCCCTGACTTAAGGGAATGTCCATCCATTCACTGTTCATCCATTGAATAAACACGTGATGGGACCAGAGCTAGATAACGGAAATCTAATAGGGTCTCTATTCCCAAAGAGGTCACATATCTGAGTATAACAAAAATATCTACAGGGAGGAAGGTCCAGCCAACCGGTTAAACACAATTGTCACTGACACTTGCATCTCATTGAAAGGGTACTGCCATCCTCTTTCCCGACTGGACTAGAGGCTGTTTCCAAGTCAGACTTATATCTTCTAGGGAGCAAGGGATGGTGGCAGGGAAGGCCCAGGATGAGTGTGTGACAAGTGCTGCAGATGTCAGTTGGGGAGGGCAAGCACATGCACAGGGACAGCAATTTACCTGGCACACGTCCTGTCTGCAGAGACGGGCATGAGTGAGGGATGAGTGTTGGAGGGTGTGAAGAATGGGCGAAGCCTGCCTTATGAGTGTGTGTGAACTAATGCTATAATGAGAGGCAAGAGCCCAGCTACGTGGCAGAAAACACCCCTCCTGCGTGCCTCGAAGGCTTCCTTGCTGGTAATTGCAGCATCCTGCCCAGGGGATCACCAGAAGCTACACTCCTGCCCTTCCGGTACCAGGAAAACACGACCCTACCCCAAAGGCCCAGGGTCTGAACATCCCACAGGAGTCCCAGGTCTGATTCTTCCTAGAACCTGCCTGTCTTCTTTCAATCCTCCGGGCACAGAGCAGAAAGAAGTCAGCCATCCCTGGCCACTCCCTGACCCCAGGTCGGTATTTCTCGACTAAGGGGAAGAACAGAGTTCACGCAAATCCAGAAGTGGAAAAAGGAAAAGGCACCTGCCAACGTCGTCACTCCCTGGGGAGGCATGAAGAAAGGAAAGAGAAACAAGGAAGAGGACAAGACCCACCTGCTCCAGGACTGGGGCTCAAGCCATTGCTGGAGGGGCTCCTGCTGGCCAGGAGAGCTGCCGGCTTGAGGGCCCCGTCAGAAGGAGTCCGCCGGTGACCACTCGGCTGCGTGGGGGCCGTGAGCGTGACATGGGTGGGAGTCAGAGACTGTTTCGGGTCTCGTTTGAAGCGCTCCACTCGGACATTGACCAGGGGGTTGTGGGTGCATGGGGCCAAGGGTGGGGCCTCCGCCGGGCTGACCGGCATCTCATACACCACGATCTCATCGCTGTCGGAGCGCAGCAGGGAGCGCGTGGAGTTGCACTCGGAGATGGAGGAGAGAGAGAGCAGCGTGAGGGAGGCGGAGGGGTCTCCTAGCAACAGCATGGGCTCTTCCTTCTTGAAGAGCTTTCGGGATGGGGGGCTGGTACTCCGGCGAGGACGGCTGGCCCTCTGGAAAAGACCCTCACGCCGCTTCTTCTCCTCCCGGGCTGGTGGATCAGGCTCCTCCAGGGGAAGTAGCTGGCACTTGCCAGCTTCCAGCAAGTCAAACCCTAGCCCTGTGGCCGCGAGGACAGCCCCGCAGCCCAGCAGAGCCACCTCGCAGCGCCGGTGGTGAGGGCCGCCTCGCTTGAGGCTGTTGGTTGGCGTCAGCTGAGGGGTACTGGTGGCCGAGTTGACTGGGGTCGGCTCCTCGTGGCCTCCGTCACTGGAGGGGCCTTCCCCATCCTCTCCACGAGGAAATGGGATACAGAGGTAGGACTGGTTGGGTGAATGCTGTAGACGACTCTCTCCACTCCTCGGGCCTTCGCTGTCCTCATCCTCTGTGAAGATGAGAATGGAAGGGAGACAGGAAATGGGGAGGAAGCAGCTAGAATAAGAAAGTGGTCCTTTCCCCCGACCCTGGGGCCTCCTGGCTCAGTGTCACGGACGCAAAGGCCAACGGTCTGACGAACAGGATGTGGAATTGGACATTAGGGCTTCCCCTTCCCACACTCAGCTGTGACCAACGTGAGGAAATCACTCTCCATTCCGGAGGCCATTTCCCTATTTGCAGAAAAGGGCATCCGGTAACTTGCTACTTCTTTCATAAGGGATCCTCAACACAAAGTCCAGTATGAGCCTCTAGAACACTGGACAGGACAGGAACATTCCTAATGTTTTTGTACCTTAAAATGAGAAGAGCCTCTGGGTTTCCAGAATGATGGCTTAGCAACTTGTTTTAAGACCAGTCTCCTGTGAAGGGTTAGAATCTCCTCCATGGAAGGCCAACCTCCTCTATGGATTGACGCATCACCTCCTTAGAAATCTACAGGGACACCACTATCCGAGGGAGCCTGGAGAAGCCCTCCCCCATGCAGCAGTCACTGGAACTCTGGGAAAGCTCCCTGGGAGGGAGGCTGCAGTGTCTATACACCGTCCTCCACTGTGTGGACTCCCCACATTATGATATGAGGAAACAGACCCAGAAAATGGAAATGCCTGGTGTGAGGCCCCAAGGGGACGATTACTGGCCCCTAGGGACAGAATTCCAAGGGCAGGCTCCACGGTAGCTGTAGGAGTAAATGGGGATTTGGGAAGACTCAGTGAAATGGGAGCAGAGGAAACTAAGAAGAGATAGTGTGGGGGCCAGCAGTTGAGAGAAAGAGGAGACAACTCCCATGAGTAGTCCCAGGGGTCCTTAAGCAAACCTAGAAGCTTGGGCAAAGGTTCCCCAAGGAAGCAGGGAGAGAACCGAGACAAGAGCAGTGCTTACCTATCTCCATAAGGCTGGTGAACCCAGGCAGGGCCAGGCTGCTCCTCGGGCCCTTCCCCAGGTTGGGGGCACTGGAGGACCACTGCTTGTATCCATCTACCAGGGACTTGAGGCTGAATAAGAGGACAGAAGGAAATTGTTAGAACTGGTCACTTCCCTTACTTCCCTCAGCTCCATGTGCCTATAGGAATGCCTCTCCCCGTCTGTTTTATTGCACCACAGAGCCTTGGGGGACAGGAACAACTCTTACTGAGCCCACCTGCATCACAGACAAAAGTGCACATGCTCCAGGGAAGGCAAAGCAGTGACAGGATGCACCCCCCACATGCTGCTGTGGGACTGTAGAAAGATCTGGGGGACAGGGCGATACAAAAAGACGGAAAGGATAAGGACTGCTCAGCCAATGGGGGTCTTGCCTTGATCCATCCACACAGTGCACAGACACTGAACGAAATGCACTCATGACGTCAGAAATGCTGCAATGCAAAGACCTGCAGAGCCAGGCAAGCACCAGGCAGCAGAGCTCACAGAGGTGGGCCACTCCACTCACACCATTTCTCAGTCTCTCCGTTCAAGCTTACGGCATGCTTAGGCAACTTTCAAAGCCATCCACTTTTCAAAAAGAAAAGTCAACTAACAAAGCTGCGCCAACCCAGTGCACTTTGGGACAGACCTATGTGGGGTAATACACAGCGCTGACCCAGAGCCCTCAGTTTGTCGGGGGTGGAGAGAAAGAGGACAGGAGCTCACTTTCAAGTCCCTGTAATCAGCTCATGTGGCAAGCCGGTAACTCTCCCAGGATACAGCCTGGGCACCCTGCTGACCCCCTTGCAGCATGGAGGGATCAGAGGCCCAGGAGCACTGGTCTTTTCCTTAGAGGACAGTGAAGGGAGGACCGAGGAATCTGTGGGCTGTGGTTGCCTTGGGGATTTTGGAGTTATGATCAGAAGTGGCTCCTTTTTTAACGCTAGAAAGAAATGTTCAACTAAAAGTCTCCTTTCCCCAGAGTCCCAGCCTATCTTAAGGAAGGGGAAGGACCAACTTTCTCCCTGACCTCAGAACTCTGTTTCAAGTGCTATCAGAAATACGAATGAATTAAAGTACAGTCCAGCCACCCCTGGTTTCAACTAAAATACAGAGCCAGAGATAAGCCTGCCACTAAACCCACAGCCTGGGACTTCCAAATTATAATCTTGTAACCTCACTTTTAGCTCTGGATCCAGGAAAATCCAAAATAGCAAAGTCAAAACCAGTGCTCAAGACCAAACAATAAAAAGCCACGTTGTCTTCTCCCTAAAGCTAAGGGTACCAGGAATATGCCAAGAATTAACTGGAGTAGTCAGCGGAGTGAAGAATAAGGTAAGGTTAGATCAACACAGGAATATTCCCAAGGTGCACGATGGTACCGCTTAAAACAAAATGAATTCACAGTTCAGCCCTGGCAACAACGAGGCTTGGTTCTATGGGGTGTGCTGTGAGAACGAGGAAATGGAAGGGGGCTTGTTACCAGCACAGTTGGTGAAAGGGTGACGATTAGACTCACCCCAAGTAGAAATGTGGAGATTCTGATGGGGTACTTAAACCATTAGCTTTCTCACGCCTCTGAGGGGATCTTCAACAAATAAAGAGAATCAGTAGCAGGAAATGGAGGGCACATCAGCTCAGCCTCTCCCGCACCAAAACATGGACACAAGGCTGGACTCGAGCTATTTATACGTTGTCAGCTGCCTCCTCCTGGTCCGGTCGGCAAAGCCCACGCCGTGAAAGAATCTTAACCAGATGGCCCTGCTTAAGCTGCTACAGACCCAGGACCTCCCAATCTGTAGGACAAAGATCCCTGGGCAGCCACAGGGGCCTGTAAATCCATGGATCCCAAAAGGTGTCTACAGACAAGTGTATATGTTGCAGACAGATATGCACTATTTTCAAAAGGGTGAAGATGTAAATTTATTTAACATTGCTGAACTCAAGATAGCTTTTGGTCATTACATATTTTCTTTGGTCAACAGGTATGAAATTTAGAAACATTAGCATTTAGAGGTTCTCAAACATTGGTGATGTTAAAGAGGTCTTTACTTGAGACTGGATTAAATAAACTTTTATTTCTTCAATAGGAACTGCGGATCATGAATAATTAAGTCATATATTTTGAATTGCTTCAAGTTTGCGAAGGCAAATCTATGGAAGGAGGAAGAAAATCCCAAAGTTAATATTTTGTAATGTGAAATAAATGTTAATTTACTACCAAAACAAAAAATATCTCTAACTGAAGCAGAATCATAGAAATTGCTGGAATCCATAGCAAGCCTGCTAAACTCTACCTGGAATCCCATTAATGTCAAGAAATATCAAAAGACTCAGGGTGACTGAGTTTCCTGGACCCAGCTCAACCCTGCTCTGACCCAGGGCTCAAAGGACAAACTGGAGAGCTCTTGCTCCTCCAGCACTTAGTAGAATAGAGCAATTCGCCACCCCCAAGGATTCAACTGCTGAATTCTTACACAGCTTAGCTACTTTGCCCTACATATCTAGGTTTTCTATTTAAAAGTATCTAGTGACTTTTCAAGCCTAGCTTCAGAGAGTCAATCTTTTATGAACTAAACTGTTATTATCACCTTTAGCTCAGATCTGACATGCAGAAATAACAGATCTTAGACATGAAATTTTAGTATTTGAAGGATTACCAAGGCCAGTTACAGGTTCAGGCCCCCTATAAGCCTAATATTCAACCTTAGAAGCTCTTTGGAAAGTCTCTAAGAAAAGGTGAAGGAGACTGCTGGTTATGCCCGCACTTAGGGAAATCAAGAAACACTGTTCTAGATTCTGACCCAGGAATAAGTATACATTGTTCTGTCCATGCTTCAAATATGAAACAGAATTGCATGAGAAGCTAAGAAGAGTCCTCGTAGCTGATATTTACATATGTTTACCATGAGCCAGCCAATCAATGCTCTATGCGCTTTACAAAGATGAATTTACTTAATTAACCCTCACATCAGCTCTAAGAGATGGGTGCTAATATTATCCCCATTTTATAGATGAGAAAACATTACAGTCACACAGCTAGCCGTGGTGGAGCCAGGATTCACACCTAGGTAGTCCGGTGCCAGGATCCACACTCTCCACTCCCACACTACGAGTGCCCCGGCCTGTGAATAGCTGGGACTCAGGGGTGAAGCGGACCCTTAGGCCTTGACCCCACAAGTGAGAACAGAAGCACATTCAAGGCACTCGGGCCCCCCTGTTGTCTGCCCAGAGCGGGCCCTCCTACGTGTCAGTGTGGCTATGGGTGAGGCCTGACCGAAGTGCTAGTGCCCTGGAGTTAATCCACCTGCACTACCAGGGCTGGGTTATCTGCCCGCCCGCCCCTGCCTCAGGGTGAGCCTCGAGTCAAGAGAGTCCCGCTAGCTTCCGCTCTCCCTTCTCTTTCTTCTCAATGGATGTTTTAAGGCAGAAGAGCCAGGTATATTAAGTAGAACACTCTGGCAAAACGTTTTACATTTGGTTAACGCTTGGGCTGCTTGCTACTCTGAGTACGACACCCCCAGGGCCTGGCAGACTAACTCTTTACAAAGGTCTGGTGGAGCACAGCCACACTCATTCATTTACACGTTGTCCCGGCAGCATCTGCGCCCCAGCAGTGGAGGTGAACAGCAGCAACAGAGCCGGAAGGATCACACGGCCTAACATATTCATTATCTGGCTCTTTATGGGAAAAGTTTGCCAACCCCTGTCCTAGAAGGTTCCAGGGGACAAGGAGGGTGAAAAATTCTGTTGTAAAGATCAAGAAGCTTGTCATTTCTCAGAAAGCACTGAAACATACGGCAGGGAGAAAAGGTCTTTCACATGTTTTAAAACCATGTACCTGCCTTTCAGCGAGAAAGAATTTCACTTCAATTGGCTCTTACCCTTCATCTCCTGAGGCAAGCTCCTTCTGACCAAGTGTCCCTGGCCCCCACGTCCGCCCCTTCTTCTTCGAGGCCCTCTTCTCCTCCTCCTCCGCTTCCTCCTTCGCGATGACCGAGCTTCTGCCCCAGGTTTTGCTGCTTTCGCCCGGTGTCACTGTGAATAATAAAGGTTGGGTAGGATCTGGAAAACGGACAGAGCACCCCAAAACTAGCCTGTACATCCCTGGGCGCGTGCGCGCGCACGCCCCCCCCCCCCCCCGCCACACACACACACACTTAGAGCTGCGGGAAAGTTAGACCTCATCAAAAACTGAGCCCACGTGGACCCTTCCAGGAAAATAATGGAGCTCTCAGCCACCCATCATACAGCTCTCTCAAAGGACTAAATTTTGGGAAAACTTCCCAAATTCTCACAAGTCTGATGTAAAGCTAGAGCTCAGGCCAGCCAGACATCAGAGTTCCAAACAGGCCTGACGTACGGAATTTATCTTGCTGGGTGGAAATAGATCGAGGGGGAATGAGGAGGCAGGAAGGGGCAAACAGACAAGGGGTGAGGAAGGTGTGGAAGCGCAGACATTCTGGGAGGAAAGGGCTGGGAAGGAGGAACGTGAGGAGCTCCAGACTGTGGAGAAGGAAGTCAGGAGTAGGAGAAAGGGAACTAACAGGCCTAGAGAAAGATTGTAGGTTGAGAAGAGGAGCATGCATCTGGCATTGACACCATAGAGCAGGGTGGAGACCCAAAAGGCCTCAGGGACCAGGCTTCCATCATAAATGAGTAAAGTGGACCAGTTACCAAAACACAGGGAGTCGAGGGGACTGCGGCAAAACATGGAGCATATGACTTTGCTATTAGTTCCAGCCAGCTATGGCCAGTAGAAAAGGGAACTCTATGGTTTGATTTTTCAAGGAAAGCCAGAAATCCAAGATTTTTAAATGAAATCTATCTTTAAATCAGGGGAATGAATTCATTCATGTGTGTGTATATTATATATGTATATACATATATACACATGTGGCAACAAAAATAAAATTGGTCCAGATTTGGCCAATTATAAAGTATTTGGCAAGTTTCTTTAGGACTTATACTTTGGAAAAATCCTTCTTTGAGAAGCATGGATAAAAAAAAAACAAAAACAAAACAAAACAATGATGCCCCAAATATGGCAGAGAGTGTGCTAGGTCCCCAGGCCAGGTACCATCCTGTGTCTATATCACACCCCAGTTTCCAAATGGCTTTGTAATTCCCTAAACCCCTTCAGGACCCAGAACCCCCCTTGCTGCTATCTGACTAAGAACACAAGGGAGAGGAAGCAGCAGCAAAGTTAATGGAAAGAAGCAAGGGGGTGCTAAGGGTATGCGTACATATGTGCATGTGTACACACATGGCGACAAGAGTGGCAGAAGGTATGGATGGAGCAAGCCTGGGCCAGTCGGTGGCTGGACAGGGCAGGGGACAGGTGCCCCTGGTGTGTTCTGGACCCAGCTAGTTTGGGAAACAGTCTCACACTGGATGGCGCGAAGGCGGGGGATGATGGTGGGGCTTGCAGGAGGACTGGAGCGGCTGTTGATAAGATTCTTCCTTTTATCCATGGTGGGGGAGGCCTGCACCGTGAACTTGTGCTGGAAATCTGCTTGAGGAAAGACAAACACATGCGTGTGCATTAAAATCTTCCCATAGTCAGATTCGTGTAAGAAATCTGAAATTTCCTGGCAGGCCTGAAGGACAGGCCCTAGTTTCCTGAAAAGCTCTTTGTTCACCTGGGAAATATTCTCTTTCAGAACCATGTATTTTTCCCAAGGGACAGGGCAGGATAAAAGTAGGAAAAGATGAAAAATTCATTACCCAAGTGAACTTCATTACACAGTCTTCATAAAGCTGTCGATATAACGTATATGGGTGGGACAATTATGCATTCAGAATAGCTTTTAGCTCATGAGATCATGTTGATTATTGTAGGAAATTTAACTCAAAATTCTTGGTTTCATATAATCTATTACTAGATAGATTTGGCCTTCTTTTCTCAGGGACCAAAGTACGAAGACTGATGCTTCTCACTACATGCAGACAGAGCAGGGTGCTGGGGACCAACCCTTGGTGGGGACCCAGGGAAGTGAGAGATGGGGCAGATAGCTCCAACCCTGACATAGTCCCAGGCAGTTGGGTACAGCACAAAGAACGTAAAGCTGGCAGCTCTGAATTCCTGAGCTTCAGTCTCCTCATCTATCAAACAGGTATAATAAATAGCTACTTGCTTGCACCTAGGTCTCCCCACCAGACTGTGACCTCCCTGCAGGTGGGAACTGTCCCTTTTATATCTGCAACCCCAGCACGCAACAGTACGCTGGCACCTAAATGCTTGAGAGATGCTTAAAGACTCCATGCTGTCCAAAATTAAAGAAAAATGTGCAACCAGGAAACCAGTAAACATGTCACACGAACACATTCACTCCATTTCGTTGAATGAATTCTCTCGTGTGCACTTAAGCCACCATTCTAGTACTTAAAATCATCCAACATTGCTCCTATGATGCCATTTTTCCTTGGTTCCTTACACTTCTAATAAGCCTGCTTCCCAGGGCCTTATCAACTCAGAACACTACAAACATTTTTATCTACATAAACACTCACCTCCCTCCATGGGTACACTACATACTACAAAGATTCTAATTCATAGTTTCATATCTCTTTACATTTTCCCCAAGGCTGTAATATCATAAATGTACCTGTATTCAGCTGATGCATGTTTCTGAAAGTCTATGGGTAAATCTTAAATTATTATATAATACATTAAACCTTCTCTTGACTGCACCCAGAGAACGAATTCTTTAAAGAAGCCTTGAGACGAGTTATTTTACAGAGCCAAGTCTTCTCTTGTCTCACACATGCACATTCTGGAGCCGTTTTCCCCCAATCACACGCTTCCTTCTCCAGGTCTGCCTAAAGTGAGATGCGCGCCTGTGTGAGCCGCCAGGATTTAGCAGGCTGGACCTCGCCGGTCTACCCTCGTATTCCGTGTGCATTCATTCACACTCAACAATTGCCCTGGAGTGGGGTAGATTTTCAGCAAGCCAGTCTTCCCACGGAACACAATGGCCCATTTTAAATGGGCTCCACTTTGAGGCCAGGGGCCTTGTCCCCAGAGCTCCTGAGACCCTCTGCCACACCAGCTCTTTGCTGCCCTGCAGGTCCCTGGCCACTGACCGGAGGGGAGGCTGATGCGGTTGCCGTCCTTGAGCTTCAGCCGGCTCTTCCTGAACTTGCCCTTGCGTTTCTTCACCCGGGGCTTCTCCTGGCACAGCTGGTGGATGATGATGTTGAGCTCCCGTTCCAGAATGTCGATCTCCCGCTCGGCCAGCTCCTGTTCCCGACGTCGCAGCAGTTCCTCCTGGTTCTTCTGCTGCAGCGCGGCCCGAGTCAGCTCCTCCTCCCAGGTGCGAAGCTCCTGCAGGACGGGCAGAACGGTCAGAGAGAAGAGTGGGGCACTCGGTGCAGAGGGGCCCTGGGGGAGGCCTGAGAATGCCCCGAGGGTTTATGGCAGCCTAGAGAACTCTCCTGTGATGCTCGGTGGAGACCCGGCTCACTAGTCAGCTGGCAAAGGAACACCTGACCACCTTGGATGGCGGGACAGGAGGCTGGGAACAGCCATCATGAGGACACAGCCAGAGAAGCCAAAGCCATGGGCCAAGCCCCAGACATGAAGGCTGGGGGTGTCCAGTTGCTCCTTCATTCTTGATTAAAACTGCCTGTGGTTGAAAAAAGAATCAGAATTTGAATAGAAAATATAATAATGCATTTGAATTTGACAGACTTGATTCTATTTTAATTTTTTCTATTACAAAAAAAGATTTTTTTAAAACTAGAGCTCACTTAGAGTTGTCTAGCTTAAAATGTATCCACTGTAAATGAAGCATCCTCCAGGCATCACCTAACATTCAAATAAAAATAAATATATTTTGGCCGGGCGCAGTGGCTCACGCCTGTAATCCCAGCACTCTGGGAGCCCGAGGCAGGTATATTGCTCAAGGTCAAGAGTTTGAAACCAGCCTGAGCAAGAACGAGACCCTGTCTCTACTATAAATAGAAAGAAATTAATTGGCCAACTAAAATATAAATATATATAAATATATATATTTATATTTTAGATATCTAAAATATCTTAGATTTTAGAATTTTATATTTAAATATAAAATTTATATTTTATATTTACATATATATATGTGTGTGTATATATATATATATATATATATATGACGCGCTTCGACACTATAATATCACATAACATACACTATTTCTCAATTTTTAATGGTGACAGGTGTTCATGCTATCTTACTTCAAAAAAGAGGCTTACAGGCCAGGCCGTGGCGCTTCACACCTGTAATCCTAGCACTGCTGGAGGAGAGCATGGCGATTGCTGAGTCCAGGAGTCTCGAACTCGAGCCTGAGCAAGAGCGAGACCCGTCTCTACTATAAATAGAAAAGAATCAATTGTCAACTAAATATATAGAAAAAATGAGCGTGCCATAGGTGGCGCAGTGCCTGTAGTCCCAGCTACTCAAGGAGGCTGAGGCAGAAGCTGCTTGAGCCCAGGAGTTTGAGGTTGCATGTGAACTAGGCTGATGCACGGCACTCTAATACAGGCAAGAGTATGACTCTGTCTCAAGGACCTGGCGCAGTGGCTGGGCTCACTGCTCTGAATCACTAGCACCTAGCACTTTGGAGGCCGAGGCGGCGGATCGCTCAAGGGCTTAGGAGTTCGAAACCAGCCTGAGCGAGACCCGTCTCTACCAAAAATAGAAAGAAATTAATTGAACCAACTAAAATATATATAAAACTTAGCCGGTCATTGGTGGCACATGCCTGTAGTCCCAGCTACTCGCTCGGGAGCTGAGGCGTCAGGATCGCTGAGCCAGGGAGATTGAGGGTTGCTGTAGCCAGGCGTGACGCCACGGCACTCACTCTAGCCTGGGACAAAGTGAGACTCTGTCTCAA